ACCTCATCTGGCACAATAGCCTGTCCTTCATAGATATATACAACCTGGAGCATGTTAGACCTCTTCTCCCATCCAAAGTTATGAGGATCTAGAAGTGGAGGTGACAGCATGCCAGCAGACTTCCAGAGAACTGTCTGATAGTGGGCACGGGTACAGTGTGGTCTGAAAGCTGCCATTGTTGGTGGTAAGCTGCTCAGTTTTCATGGTACATGTCTTTTGCCAACTAGCTTTCGTATGAAAAGAGCTGCTCGCATGGTGTTCTGAGATTTGTCTTGCTTCTGTCGGTACACCATGCCTACATATCCCAGACAAGAGTCGACGATTTCATTCAGTGAAGTAGATGGATCTCCTAGCTTGATAGTGTCAGCAAATGCTTCCAATTGCTTCAGGACTGTTGCCTTGCCAATTCCAGCAAAAGAGGATACGGGATCGCAACCAGTTAGTGCGTGAGCCGCCAGGAGGTTGGACATAACTTGTGCATGCTTTTTTACAACTTCATTGACATCAATCATAGCGCGATTTCTGGTGCATGACTCCATGAGAACTTGTACAGTGCTTGGCATGTCGTTTGTTTGCACATGTAGATGGTGAGCCATGATCACAAGGACATCTGTGTCGTCAGACACAAGTTTGATAGATGAATTCCCTGCCACAGCTTTATTTATTGCATGATAAGCAATGAGGATGTCAGCTTCCTCATGTGTCACTGGTGTGAGCTGGGTACCAGTACCTACGTCAATGGGACGAGCATCGGGCCCTGTCACAATGTTGTTCTTGCCCTCGGGAACGTCAGACAAACTCAGTTCATCTACGATCATTCGAATGATCTGCTCTTTGTTAGCTGTGACATTCAAGGTGACAGTTTACTTTGGTAGTGGGCAATCAGGTGTAAGTTTGTACACACGACTGACACCGTTTGCACGTTGTGTGCGACAGCATGACTTTATGCTGGTCTCATAGTATCTGTCAAATACTACATGCAGAACCTGTGTACAATTCACATGACGCATTATGCTAGCAGCAGCAGCATTGACAAAAGTTGACACCTGAGCAGGTGATGCAGGCCAAGGAACTGGCCACAGAATTGCACAACCATCTAGAATAACAACTTCGCAAGACACCCTGTTTCTTTGACTACATTCTACTTTGATCTTGGACTTCAGCACAGAATTGGAGGTTGTTCTCATGTTACCATTAGCAATGAACAGAGCAGATGGAAAGGGAGCTAGTTTATAGGAGAAGAGGGTTTTGGTAAAAATGGTCTTCCTGGAAGAAGCCATGATTCCAATGACTCGGGCATAGATAAGTTCAACATACATCATCAATGCATGCGCACAGTGCTTCACGAATCTTCAGTCTGTCAGCAGCATCTGCTTTCACGCGTGTGTCGCTCCTCCTTATGACAGGTGACCACCGTCTGATGTTCCCCATCCTGTAGCACTTCCAGATCCCTCCTCAACTGTCCAAACATGCTAAGTGATAGAGCCCAGATGGCGAGAGTAGTTTCATTCAGGGTGGAGCCAGTGATACCAGAAGGCCCTCTTCCGTAGCGCATGTACGTTGTTTCGATGAAGAGGTCAGACCACAGACCGTTCCAAAGACCATCTTGGTGATGCATGACATGTTCTCCACGTAGAAACTTCTTCAGAACATCTGGATGAAGCCGCTGCATAGAGCGCAGATAGTACAGTCCATACCGTGCGTAATTAACATGTCCTGATGAGAAGAAATACGGTAGCATTTTCTCAACTGCAAACAAATGAAGTGGCCAATTGCCTTCTATTTCAGCACGTACAAAGGTCATAATGATCAGGACAGGGTTTATTAGGCAGTCAACCCACAGTTTGGTTGTCCTACTGCGCCTACTGATAGTTTCCAAGTATGTCATGAGGTTGTCAATGTTAGATTCCTCTTCCTTGTTCAGTAATGACCATAGTAGTTCTTCCAGCACAATTCTAAGCGCTCGGATGTTTTCTGGAAACTTCTTGCCAGAGAGAAGCTTTGGCACCCGAACAAATGTTGACTTGAGAATGTCTTCCAGGCCGCTGCCCTGCTGCCCCCACAAAACTCGTCAATCAGTGCATACCTCCTAACCTTGGCACAAACCTTGGAAAGAGATCTGGTTCATTCAGGTTTTTGGCTGCCATTTTTAATTGTTCTTATTCAAAAATGCTCAACCTGTATTAACTGGCATACATCAGATTTGGAACAAACTTGGTTGAATTGTGGAGAAATTGTTAAAACATGTTATATATGTCCCTGAACATAGCCCAGACTAGTCACGTTGGGAATTGCCGCTATCGCGTAAAAAGAAAAACCATGAAAAGTTCATATCTCAAGAACTACACCAGATGGAGTAATGGTATTGGTGCCAAAATATCCGCAATACCCAAGTTTATATACATGTTCCATACATACTTGGGGTCTAAATACAATATTATCACCGTTATTTACAAAAAAGTGTATTTTCTGGTGGCCATGTTGGATTAGAAAAAAATGCTCAACACTTACGAGCTGGCATACATCGGATTTGGCATCAGCACATAAACATTGACAGGAAACAAAATAAAAACATTATATATGTTGAAAAACAAGCTTACACTATTATGACCATTACGCCTAGCCTGGACTATTTATGGAACTGCTGCAAACAAAACCTTCGTACAGGTATTCACTCCACATAGCATGATGAAATAGATGTACACCTGCACATGCGTACACACGTGTACACACATTTTAATCGTTAATGTGTTTTTTTCTTCTAACTGCACAAGGCAAGCTAGAGTGTGTGAAAATGGTTGCCGCAGAAGCGCTACTCAGTGAATGTAACTGCCACTTGCCTTGCAAGTAAGTCGTTGCGCTCCAGTGTTGGTAGGATATGAATCTACTTGGTCAGTCCTTTACACATAATACGGCGATATATGTATACATATGTGCATGCGATACGCTGTTGGTGTCACTTGGTTAGAACACCTGAGAATCATCAATTATTTTACCAAATGCCGGATATTAAGTCATAGGTCATAAATAATAACTCGTTAATCATGTTAATTACTAAATTTATCATTTTAGTTTTTAGGCGGTCTTATTAATTTGGTGATCATAAATATTTTGTATTTTCCTTGATCTGTCCTTGCATATTTCATCACATCTATATTATTGTTCTGCTGAGATAATGAATTACTGAAGCAGACATTACAGAAAACGATCAGTAAATGTAGATAGAGAATAACACTGAGGTAGATCAGTGAATGCTCAGAGACTCGATAGCCGATATACAAGATTCATGTGAGAAGAAACGGCTAGAAAACTACCTGATAACCTCTCTGCTTCAGTCTTGACGAGTTGGTTAGGGCCTATATTAAAATTGCATCAGATATAAAGCAATTTACGAAACGAAATTGGCTAGGTAACCAATAACCAGCCAAAGGCAGCTATGGCATGGCAGGTGGCTTAATTGTATGGATGAGAGTTTGGACTATTTGCAGTTATGACGATAATATATAGTTAGCTGAGCTGTATATATTATATATGTGTACATACATATATATATATGTAGCGATAGAGTGGATACTTTATTTATTCATGTGCGTAAACAGCAATGTTTGGTTGCGACAGTATTAATATATATATAAACGAAAAATATATGTAAGTAAAACAGTATATATATATATATAACGTTATTATAAATAAATATTAAAATTAATTAGCTATGTTTTGTAATCACCAGCTCGCTTCTTTTTTCTACACAGGGAGATGCTCTACCAGCGCTCGGTGACGCATGCTCATTGGCCAGCTGTTGCTTATGAAGCGACGTTAAAGGAGGAGTTGAAACAATCATTCGCTTCCAACGACTATGTCTTGAAATCTCTTTCTTCGGGTCCATGTGCATCAAGTTCGTGTAAGCAATGAGTGCTCATTATTGACCGCGGGGTGGAAGCATGCTTCTTGGTACCTGCTTGGCATGCTATACTGGTGGAATGTAGCAATTGATATAGAACTATAACTTTTTACTCGCCATTTTGTATGCAATTTTAACTAAAGATGCCTTTTTCCTTTTGGCTGTGTCTGAGCATATCAACACGGTGTAGTTATGCACGGTATTTATGCCCGATTGCATTTACATCCGCTGTTAAAACTTTTTTACAATGTCTCAATTATGATGGTTTAATAATGTATGCAATTGAGAGTCGTTCGCAAAACAGAAAACTAAGTGGGTGTTATTACACTTGTTATTAAGATTGGTTTGATACTTAACAATGACAACAACAACGACGACGACGACGACGACGACGACGACAACAACAACAACAATGCAAACAACAACTCCAAATGCTGATTGTGTGTAGTTCTATTTCCAGATGGAGGCAACGTTGGGTCCGACCTGTGTAAAAGAAATAAAACGCGAGACAATCCAGCATGGATGTAAGTGCACAATGAAGCAAATATCACTACAATCTCTACTTTACGCAACATGAATTCTAAATTACAAATCTTTTGTAAGAAGTAAATTCTTTTGTAGCTTACGCTCTATGATACAAATTTAAACGTAGTGTGTGCGTGAAGGTGGCGCCATTAATCGGTCGCTGGCCAGTCAGTTTTGTAAGAGTAAGGAATCAGTTTTTTTAAGGAATTGGGCTGTCTTAAAAAATAACCCTATATTGCCGAATAACCATGCAATAATTGTTTTGTTATATGTAAAATCTGGAATAAATAATTCTATTGCTACTCTACTGGGGGGCAGACCGTGAGCGGTGTGAGAAGACACATGTCACATGACACAAGTCTATCTATGATTTATAAGGGTAACTCAATAAATATGAACTTAAACGTTACCTTAAACATTCAATAGGAATACGGCAGGGGCTTGTTTTGGTTTACTCTACTTTTTACGAGATCTGATAGACTTCCATCGTCCATTCGCGGACATTATTTATGTCAGCGGATAACATTTTTAATTTTCAACGTTTTTACTACAGGAGCAGTTTCGCCCGCCTCAACGTCTTTTTCCCAACTATGGGCCACGAGAAAGTCATTATGGAACCAACATATACGGTAATAAATATATATCGTTAGTTCATATTACTGCTAATATAAACAATTAGCATGAAACTCAAAACTATATAGACTATAGCTAAAATGTCGGTAACATGATGGAGTCCTCTCGAATGTGTGTTCGGTTTAAGAATCGAGGAAAGAGGACGTCAGCACACATAGGCCAGAAATATATTACTTACACCATCGACAGCCAAAAGAGAGGTGTTATGCTGCCATGTTGCAAGAGTGAAATCTTTTGTCCGCCATGTTGCAGGCATGTTGTGTGATGGCTGCTGTTGTTGCTGCCATGTTGCAGGCATGTTGTGTGATGGCTGCTGTTGTTGCTGCCATGTTGCAGGAGTGGAGTCTATTGTCAGAGGTTGGAGGCACTATGGGACTTTATCTCGGAGCCTCGCTCATCTCACTGGCTGAATTCATGCGGTTTCTAGCATCTGCTGTTGGTCTGGTCGTCCCCAAAAAACCGGCCAATGAAACCCCTGTGGTGTTGACTCAATACAAGACCGGCCTGGAAATGTGATGGCTGACCTTTTACAATAATCTCATGAGGATAGCATAGTGAATAAAAAGCATAACATGCAGCGCATTTCTGCATCATTGTTACCTCCGCGCAACGGAGTTGCAGGGAGGTAATGTGATCCCTCTCGTGTGATGCATTCGTGTGTGTGTTCGTGTGTGTGTGTAGCCAGCAGCGAGCCAGCTGTTATACACATGTATACATGTTACACGCGTTGGCGCGATCGATTCAGCACCAGCTCGCCTTAGGGCGTCGAGTCAGCAGCAGCTCAACTAAAACTGAAACTAGAGTCAGCGAGCGGGCGGCGCGATCGATAGCGCGTCGAGTCAGCGAGTGGCGAGTCAGCAGCAGCCACCAGTGAGCGGCGAGGCAGCAGCAGGCGAGTCAGTCAGCAGCCGCCACCAGCGAGCACATACATGTTACATGCTCGCGGAGGTATGCACTCTCCGTGAGTGCCCTCTGTCTAGTTTACCATGTAATCACTCGTACCACATCTTTGCAAGATGCTCAGGTCTCGAGCTAGACGTATTCAACGAAAAGAAAACGAATGAATCAACTAAAAAACCGCATTAAAAACAGTTGACGATAGCAGAAAAATGAGTTAGACTGCATGGTATGTGGTTACATATCAATGGTTTTCTCATATATATACATATGCGTATTTTTTCTTCAGAATAGCCAAGATTACAAGTAAAATATGTTGCTAAACGCCATAAACGCACTGTACTTTAATTCACGCCTAATCGTGTAGCATATTTATTATAACATCCACACTCATATTTTTGTAACATATACTACAGAGTAATATATACAGTTCTGTAATATACAAGAATTGCCGACCTTTATTCGTCTTTATTCATGAAAAGATCGACAGTTAAGCCCCGAATACACTAGACGATTTTCACCGGCGACTCAGTCGGGCGACTCAATCGCCGGTGAAAATCGCCTAATGTGTCCAGTCAGTCGCTGCCGATTTTCGAGTCGGGCGAATGTACAATTCATCAGCCA